ATTTGGAATGTTTATGGAAAATTAAATCTTCATTATTAGAAACACATTTTTATCCTGTTCCTCTTTTAGGCCAAATGAAATAAATTCATTTTAATATAAAAAATGATATTTATCCATGCTCTGAATGTTTGACACTTACATTTAATGTGGACAGCAATACATGTGAATTCAATGATTAAAGGTTGTTAATAAAGGTTTTTTTAAAGTAGCACAAGCATCATTCAATAGCATTTTATTTCTATTATGCATTTAAAAACAGCGTGAGTGCTGCACAGGACAACAACCATAAAAAACTAATACAAAACAGACAAAAACAGCCAATAAAAATATCGACAAACAAACATAACAAGGAGTCACTATCCAAAAGCCAAGTCATAATGTCAGGTTCGATTGGCTGAGCTGAAGCGTAGCGGAGGTTGCTTGTAGCGTAACTGCGTGACCCAGACGCGGAGTGGCTAGCCTTGGGTTAAACAGAGCACGCGGCTTTGATCTGGGAACGGTGGCGCAGCGCTCGGAAAGAGCCGAGACAGAGCAGCAGTTCCGAATAAATAAGGAAGATGACTTACTGGTAGTAGACAGCGTGGTAAGATCCCTTTCCTGGTTTGAGGGCTGGTAAGCCTGAGAACTCGGGTCGATGTCTGGTATGAACGATGACTGAGTGATGAATGAGCGGCGGCACTTCCGTAAATAGAGTCGGCATGATGACGTCGACGAGCCACGCTGGTGATGGGACAGCCCCTACTTCGACCCGGAGGAACCGTTTCCCGGTCGTCTCGGGCACTTGCCACGGTGGTGGCCCAAATCCCCACAGTAGGCGCATCGTCCTTCCTGGTAACGCCGCGCCCGTTCCTCAGGGGGAAGATGTGCCTGCTGCATGGGTTCCTCCGTCGGTTGGCTGCCCTGTCGACGGGGTGACATTCTGGTGTGAATGGGAACTGACATGGCACTCGGTCGGTTAAGGATGCAGCGGTCCAATTGGAGGGCCAGGTCCACCGCCAGGTCCAGGGAGGTTGGGGCCTCATGTCCGATCATGCCCTCACGGATTTGGGGGGACAACCCCTACAGGTAAACGGCCTTCAGGGCGGCAGCATCCCAAGTCAACCGAGCAGCCGTGGTCCGGAAGCGGGAGGTGTAAAGGGCCACCGTCTGGGAGCCCTAGCGGAGTTGAAGCGATCCGGGGCTCATCCACAACCTTGCTGTTGGGATGAACAAACACCTTCTTCATCTCCTTCACGAAGGTCTTATAACTGTTGCAGACAGGAGACTTCTGGTCATAAAGAGTCGCCGCCCATTCACCGTTCCAACCCGTCAGCAGGGAGGTCAGCAGGGCGACGCGAGAACAGGACGTGGGGTAGCGCGCCGGCTGGCACTCAAACGTCATTGCCAGGGTGGCCAGCATGCCTTCCGGGGACCCCCTGGTCCCATCCCACTTGTCTGGGAGACTGAGACGTGGTTCCATGTTGTCAGTGATGGCTGAGGCCTGTCATTGGAAGGCAGTGGAGAGCTGGACAACTAGCTTGGTAAGAGACTCGAGCTTAGAGGCTTGGCGATCTGCTACGGCAGGAAGCTGGGTCATGCCTGCCAATCAACAGTTGTGCGAAGTTGAGCCACTTCTGCACGTAGGTGAGCAAACTCCGCTGGGTCAACCTTAGACTCAGTCATCCTGTCAGGTTCGATTGGCTGAGCTGAAGTGTAGCGGAGGTTGCTTGTAGCTAGAGATGGGTACCGGTACTCGGTACTTTAATAGCACCGGTTCTGACATAAACGGTAGTAACCAGACCGAAAAGCAATGCAGATTTCGGTGCTTCATTTCGGAGATGTCAATCATCTTGGACTCGAGTAGCCACTCATTTTACTTTTCCGGTGATAGTAGGCGGGCCCAGCCAAGTGCGTATTTAATTAGAGCGGACCTACATTATTTATCAAAATGCCGAAGGCGAAGCGGTCGAAAGCGTGGCTGTACTTCACAGCAAAAGATGCAGACTCAGCAACCTGCAACAGGTGCTTCAAGGTGATACTCAGTAAAGGAGGTAACACCTCTAATTTAATGAAACACCTGGTGACGCATAGCATTTTTTTAAAAGCCGAGACATGCACCGTGTTTGATAGCTTGCAACAGCGAAACCTCCCACCGAACGCATCTACTGTCGGTATTGGAGTTAGCTTTAGCAACGTTCCCCCAGAAGAACCTGGAGAGGAGGAGAATCGTCCTGGCACCAGCCGAGCCCCTCCCGCTGTAGCAGAAAAGTTGACAGAGGATGGCGGCAGCAGCAGCCGCTCTTCTTTGGGTAAGTAGCTTAAAGTAGTTTATGTGTATTATACGTTGAGCACACATTATTAAATGAATGCATGTAGGGTGAGCTAGCAAACACGGTCGTAGCTACATGCTGCGTTCTTTTTGGCAGAGACTCCCTTCACGCTGGCCAAGAGGTCTAAATTGACCAAAGAAAAAGTGGAGGAAATACACAGGGCAGTGACGACGTTTGTAGTCAAAGATCTCCAACCATTCTCAACGGTGGAGTCACCATCATTTAGGTAAAAATGTTGCATTGCTCTGATATAAAAATTGTTTTGTTCATAGCTGTTTAGCTTTGCAAGTGCTCTGTTAATAATTGGTACAAATAAAGGGTGGGTTACATGTTTTTATTTAATCTTTTTTATCTGTTTGGAAAAATAACTACATTTCAATTTAAATTCAAATTTATTTGTTTCTATTCAGGGAGATGTGCACTGCCCTTAATCCGAGGTATCAGCCCCCATCCAGAGACGACCTGTCCAACACATTTATACCTGCATGGTATTCTGTTGAAAAAAGCAACCTCATCCAGAAGTTGGCTCAGGTTAACAAGGTAGCAATCACCTGTGATGGATGGACTAGTGTTGCTCAGGACCATTTCCTCACAGTCACAGTTCATTACATCTACAAAGGCAGGATGATGCAGAATGTGCTAAGCACTGAAGCAGTTTATGAGTCACAAACAGGTCTGGTAGTGGCTAAAGAAATATCAAGCGTTGTGGAGCAGTTTAACTTAGGACAGAAAGTAATTGCTGCCACTGTAGACAACGCCAGCAACATGGATGTTGCTTTGAAAAACTTGAACTTTTTGAAAGTGGGATGCTTTGCCCATACCCTAAACCTAGCAGCACAAAAGGTGTATGACATTCCTGCAGTTTCCAGCTGGTGTGCCAAAATCCGCTCAGTTGTGGTGTGGCTCAAGCGTTCATCCTTGAGCAAAACTGTGCTCAGAGAAAAGCAGCGACTCCTGAGTAAGTAGCATATGCAGTTACACATGTAAATGTATTGTTAATCATATTACCTTTTTTACAGTAATTCAAAATACATTTGTGTCTGTCTGTGCTTTAGATTTGCCAGAGCATAATGTCATTCTTGACGTTAAAACGCGCTGGAACTCTCTCTTCCTGATGGTGGAGAGATTTATTGAGCAGTTTGATGCAATCCAGGCAGCTGTTCTGGATCAACGTCTGAGGAAGCCAATGGAGAAGGACAAGTGAGTTAATGACACCAGCATCACTTGTAAGTGCTAAATTATTTCATTTCGTCATTTACCTTAAACATTGTTAATAATTTTCCACAGGCTAGAAGGCTTCACGTGCACTGATCTAACGAAAGCAGAGATGTTTATTAAGTGCATGCAAGTCCTGTACACATCAACCATGTGTGTGTCAAGTGAGAAGTCGCCCACATGCAGCCAAATCATCCCCATCCTGATGAAGCTGGAGGCACATTTCAGGCAATCCGATGAAGACACCGTTTTCACCTCATCAATGAAAGAGAAAGTCTGGGTAGTCTGCAGAACATATGAATACTAACAAATATAGGGGTAGCATTGCATTTAGGTATCAGCTTCTATATTATATACTTTCTTTAAAGGATGAAAACCTTCAGAAATTTCTGAAGGAGGCCACTCTGATGGACCCACGTTTTAAAGGCAAGCTAGATGAAGGTGAGGCAGCTGACATCTGGGACAGGTTGGAGATGGCAGCAGTTGCAAATGCCACAGCAGCAGTTGAACAGGTATTTTCTGCACAACATTGTCCTTCTGCATGATGTAGTTTCCATGTTGAAGGAGTGTTTTTTTATTTATGTGTCCATAGCCTCCCATAGAGGACCCTCAAGCAGACAGGGTGATGGATGACGCCGAGATGAAGACGGAAAAATATGTAATTTCTGAGTTTTTCTAACCCAACCATGTAGTCCTACATTCTAAAAGGGATCTTTGTTGTTTTGACAATCTCACACTACTTATTTTTGTTTTCCAGCCAAGAACGGTCCAAAAGTCAGCCTTAGAAAAGCTGTTTGAGGATGAGGACAGACAACTTAAGGAGGATGCAGCCTCTCATACAGCGGGTAGAGTCCCTTCCATCACGGAGCAGGTACAAAAGGAACTTGACATATACAAAAGACTGCCAAGAATTCCCTCTGGACAAGACCCTGTGGCCTGGTGGTGGAGTAAGAGGGATACACTGCCCAACTTATCTGCCCTATCCAATACATACTTGTGTGTCCCAGCCTCATCAACACCTTCTGAACGTGTTTTCTCTTGCGCTGGGCATGCCATCAGCCAAGAGCGATGCCGAATATTGCCAGAAAAAGCTAACATGGTGATTTTTTTGTAAAAAAATATCAAAAAATAAAATAAGAGGTTTTTGGAAAACTTGTGTATTTTTACATTCTTTAAGCACCGGTTCCGGCACCGTTTAAGCACCGGTACCATTTCAAAAGTACCGGTTTGGCACCGGTATCGGATAAAACCTAATCGATACCCATCCCTACTTGTAGCGTAACTGCGTGACCCAGACGCGGAGTGGCTAGCCTTGGGTTAAACAGAGCATGTGGCTTTGTTCTGGGAACGGCGGCGCAGCGCTCGGAAAGAGCCGAGACAGAGCAGCAGTTCCGAATAAATAAGGAAGCTGACTTACTGGTAGTAGACAGCGTGGTAAGATCCCTTTCCTGGTTTGAGGGCTGGTAAGCCTCAGAACTCGGGTCGATGTCTGGTATGAACGATGACTGAGTGATGAATGAGCGGCGGCACTTCCGTAAATAGAGTCGGCGTGATGACGTCGACGAGCCACGCTGGTGATGGGAATAATGGGAAGTGTAGTAGTCCGCCAGTTGGGTCCGTAGGGGGTGGTCAGGAGGAGGAGTTTGTGACACATAAAAGCAGCTGTGATTTCAAGAGCGATGGATGAAGACTGTCTAATTGTGAGAAGTAATCCATTCCAGACAACCGGCATGTGAGTAGCGGTTGATGATGTAATGCTCACTGTCTCCATTCAGCAAATATGTGCACACTTGTGTGCTACTCAATGGAAGCCTCCAGGTGCCCTTTGCTGAGGATTGTGGGGTGCAGGGCGAGTATTGGGACTGGGCCCGTCTGTAGAAATATCTAGGCTAGGTAAAGAGTTTATTAAATGGTATATTTGATGTAGCCCTTTCTAGGGTTCTACAACCCTGCAAGACCCTTTACAACATGAACCAATCATTTACCCATTCATACATTGGTGCCATAGCTGCCCTGGGACACACTGTTAGAAGACTCCGGTCCCCCGACGCACCCCACCCAGGAGGATAGGGGTGAAGTGTTTTGCCCAAGGTCACAATGACTGGCAGATTGGGCTCAAATCAGCAAACGTCTTGTTACAGGTGCTAGAACTTACCTCCTCTGCCACTGTTGCCCCCATGAGCAGGGCAAGCGTGGGGAGAACATGCTAACTGCAGTAGTGCAAACCCCGAATAAAACCAAAGTCATTATGCAGTTCTGCAAAACAAGCAAGAGAATTAGTAATAATCTGTATTCTATATGTCCTGGTCCTAATCCAGAATGTCCCGCCTCTCCTTACAGCTAACCTTCCGCCCCCCTCCTCCCTGTAGCTCCTCTCAGAGACGATCAGCTGCTGGACTGAGCGGAGGTGAGATTTCTCTTTCTGTCTCACATGTGCGACTGGTGGATAATGGATCATGGACTGTTGGTTGTTGAAATCAGATTCTAGCAGATGGGATGTAGCGGGATTCTGACTCAAAGCTGGATTAGACCTGGACCTAATTTATGCCAGACTCTGTTCTACAGGCAGGTCAGACCATTATGGGCTCCGTTTTACTTTGTGTTCATTTTCTGGATCTGCAGTTGTATTGTTCTGACATCTTTGGTTGGTTTTTATCTCTTTTCTGTTGCTTTGCCGATTCTGGTTGATCTGAGTAGATTCAGGATACATTCATACAACATTTATTCAGACAATGTGAAGCTTAAGACTACGCATCAAAGGATGGATAGGTAAAACAGTGAACTGTATGTATATAAATACATACATTACACACACACACACACACACATTCTAGAGTTCTACAACCCCCTAAGGCACTTTACAACATAACCAGCCATTCACACACTGAATGGTGATGAGCTACATAGTAGCAACATCTGCCAGACTCAACCTATCAGTCATAATTGTATTCATACAAGCTTTTTACAACAGCCATGAACAGCCATGAAACCAAAGTTTGGTATAAAAACACATAAACTAAAAAGCAGCAAATAAAAATCATGATGTCACCACAGTGATATAGTTATTCAACAGGAATGTGCATGGTCTAACGTTTGCTCCTGAACCAGTACACCTGGCCTGATGGTTTCTATTATTCTGAACAGGTGAGAAGAACTGCCCAGAAGTTTACAGATGTGGTACTCATTCAGTAGACTCTGAAAACCTCCCTCAGAACTCACTCCAGAAGGTTCTATGGACCATTTTGGACATTCTAGAACTTTAAGGAAATCTTTTTAAAAAAATGAAGAAAAGTTCATGTGGTTGTTTGACAGCAAACTTGTGTCTACTTGAGTTTTTATGTTTTTTATTGTTTGTTTGGTGGGATTGATGGTTCTGGTTCTGGTTCTGATTACATCTACTGTCTTATTCATCTACAAGCCCGAAAAGAAGACGCCTCCTGGTACTGATGTCAGGGCACCACTTTGGTCCAACAGCAGCACATCCAGTCTGGGGTTCTCACCTTGGTTCTGGCAGGACCCACTAGCATGACGCGAACCTGAAAAAGGAGCAAAAACCCAGAGTTTCTGAGATGATTTCACATCTCAGCTGGAAGAAGTAGCAAGTGAAGCAAGTGAAAACACTTACTTCTGATTGGTTGACTGAGTCCATTTCCTTCTAATGGGCAGAAAATAGCAGCAGCAAACGCCAGCTCGTGCTCCCTGTTCTGTCCTCCCCTGGGAACCAAAACCATTAGCTCAAGGTTCCTGACACACACACACACACACGCACACAGGCGCACACACACACACACACACACACACACACACACACACACAAATCGATACCTGCAGAAAGCTGATTTAGACTGCGTGTCCTACGTGTTCCGACATGAATGCATCTTCTCAGACCTTTTGCATGTGTGCTGAACATGTTCCCATCTAATGTTTCTACATGCTGTATTCCTCTGCAGGCACCATGAATATTTCTGGAGATCACAGCAGAGATAACAGCCGAGATTCACTTGACCCTGCCTCAGTGGGAGAGGCCTGAAATCCATTAATCCCTGATTGGCTAAAACAGTCCACTTCCTGTCTCCACAAGATGTTGTCATCTCCTTCCACCACCTCCCTGTCTGCCTCCGTGAGTCCAGCTACATCTCACAAAGTGACTTCTGACCCCCATGACATCACCATGGAAACCTATTGGAGAGAAGTGGAGAGCATTGAGGAGGAGAGGGAGGGAGAAGAAGAGGAAGAGGAGGGTGATGAGAGGAAGAGCATGGATGGTGAGTCAAAGGCCTGAATGACAGGTGGCACTTTTGTCAAACTCCATCACATTTTTGCTTCTTGCAGAAGTGGAGTTGGAGGAGGCGTGGCTGTTGGGGGCAGGATTGTCCTCCCTAGTGACAGGCTCTGCAGAGACATCACGGCCAACAGCTGAGGCGGTGCTGTCCACGCTCACACGCCAGCAAGCTGCCACGGTGAGACAGAGACTGGACAACTACAACGCCACACTGAGGAAAATAAACCGGCAACCAGCCAGAGACGTGCGGGACATCTTTACTGAAGTAGGTTCATGTAAAGAACACACACATCAGTAAAGTAGAACCCACCACATGTTATCTGTTTCAGCCTGATGAGGACTCGGCAGACCAACACCCCCCATCTCCCCCATATCAAGTTGAGTCACCTCCAAGTCGATACCACACCACCACCAAGACCATACGCCGTACAGCAAACAAAGGTATTAGCACCAGAGCCCTCCCTTATTACCCTTACTTACAAACAGACCTGTGTGTATTTCGTGCGTAGGACCAAATTTACATATTGTGTGGTATTTACAAATTTACTTGTGCATAGGAATGTTCCTAAATATAAGAACTGCTGTGACCATGGACGTAATTTTGCTGGGGGACAAGGGGGACATGTCCCCCCCACTTTTTCCAAATTCAAGTTTTGACCCCTGCACTTTTTACCATCCAAAAACAATATTACTGTCACGATCAGAACTCAGAAGACCCGTAATGATGCCAAACACAGTAAAAGTATATAAAAAAAAATCTTTTATTTTTTGTGGAGTTACCAGAGGAGGGCGAGGCAGGAGACAGAGTCGGAGGGCAGGCGTGAGTCAAAACCAGATCGGCACAAGCAGGTACAGGGAGCAGGCTGGAGACGTGGTAGAAGACAGGCGAGGGTTGTGATGGCAGGCAGAGTTCAAAGCAGGGGTCAGGAGAAAAAACGAGGTCCGGAGGCAGAGATCAGGCAGGGTGGATGGCTGGAGAATTTACTGGCAAATGTTTCAATAATCTGGCCCTGAATGACTGGATGGCTGGTTCTTTTGTAGCAGGGGAAACAGGTGCGAGTGATGAGCTGAGGAGTCAGAAGCAGGTGAAGTGGATGAAGCTGATTGTGGTAGTCAGGAAAACAGGGCTTGGCTGGGGTTTGATGATGAGACCAGGTGTGCTGCATGACGGCTGAGGAGGGTGAAGGATTGGGAGTCATGACAATTATGCTATGTTAAATTGACACTGGTTGAGCTCTAGGACCAAGCGGAAAACAACAGTTTGCGTTGAAGCCTGTTTCCCATTAGAACATACTGTAAAGATACACCACCACTGCATCACTGCAGACGCTGAACCAATCCGCCTGTCAATCTCCCGATCCCTCCTACCCTCACTCGTGAACAAGACCCCGAGATACTTAAACTCCTCCACTTGAGGTAGGACCTCTCTCCTGACCCGGAGTTGGCAAGCCACCCTTTCCCAGTCGAGAACCATGGTCTCAGATTTGGAGGTGCTGATCCTCATCCCAGCCGCTTCACACTCGGCCGCGAACCTACCCAGCAAGAGCTGAAGGTCAGAGCTGGATGAAGCTAGGAGGACCACATCATCTGCAAAAAGCAGAGACGAGATTCTCCTGCCACCAAACTCGACACAATCCACACCACGGCTGCGTCTAGAAATTCTGTCCATAAAAGTGATGAACAGAACCGGTGACAAAGGGCAGCCCTGGCGGAGTCCAACCCTCACTGGGAACAGGTCCGACTTACTACCGGCTATGCAGACCAAACTCATGCTCCTCTGGAGCAGAGACGTGTTAACCATTGCTCTCAAACATTGTTCACAAATCTGTAATGTGTGATAGTGAGCACTTCTGCTTTGCTGACATAATCCATCCCACCTCACAGGTGTGCCACATCAAGATGCTGATCAGACATCATGAGAAGTGCACAGGTGTACCTTATACTGCCCACAATAAAAGGCCACCCTGGAATATGCAGTTTTGTCTCACAGCAAAATGCCACAGATGCCACAAGCATTGAGGGAGCGTGCAATTGGCATGCTGACAGCAGGAATGTCAACCAGATCTGTTGCTCGTGCATCGAATGTTCATTTCTCCACCAAAAGCCGTCTCCAAAGGCGTTTCAGAGAATATGGCAGTGCATCCAACCGGCCTCACAATTGCAGACGACGTATAACCCCACCAGCCCAGGACCTCCACATCCATCAGGTTCACCTCCAAGATCATCTGAGTCCAGCCACTCAGACAGCTGCTGAAACAATTGGTTTGCATAACCAAACAATTTCTGCACAAACTGTCAGAAACTGTCTCAGGGAAGCTCATCTGCATGCTCGTCATCCTCATCGGGGTCTTGACCTGACTCCAGCTTGTCATCATAACAGACTTGAGTCTGGCACGTTGGAGAGGTGTTCTCTTCACGGATGAATCTCGGGTTACATTGTTCAGGGCAGATGGCAAACAGCGTGTGGTGTCGTGTGGGTTAGCGATTTGCTGATGTCAGTGTTGTGGATCGAGTGCGTAGGAGTGGTGGGGTTATGGTATGGGCAGGCATCTGTTATGGACAAAGAACACAAGTGCATTTTATTGATGGCATTTTGAATTCACATAGATACCGTGATGAGATCCTGAGGTCCATTGTTGTGCCGTACATCCATGAACATCACCTCATGTTTCAGCAAGATAATGCACGGCCCCATTTTGCAAGTATCTGTACACAATTCTTGGAAGCTGAAATTGTCCCAGTTCTTGCATGGCCAGCATACTCACCGGACATGTCACCCATTGGGCATGTCTGGGAAGTACTTGACTGGCGTATATGACAGCGTGTACCAGTTCCCACTAATATCCAACAACTTCACACAGCCATTGAAGAGGAGTGGACCAACATTCCACAGGCCACAATTAACAATCTGATAAACTCTATGCAAAGAAGATGTGTTGCACTGCATGAGGCAAATGGTGGTCACACCAGATAACCGGTCACACAAGTTCTGAGTCCCCAGACCCCCAATAAAGCAAAAAAAAAAAAAAAAACTGCACATTCCTAGGTGGCCTTTTATTGTGGGCAGTATAAGGTACACCTGTGCACTACTCATTATGTCAGATCAGCATCTTGATGTGGCACACCTGTGAGGTAGGATGAATTATCTCAGCAAAGCACAGGTGCTCACTATCACACATTTAGACATATTTGTGAACAATATTTGAGAGAAATGGTAATATTGTGTGTCTGGAATGAATTTTAGATCTTTAAGTCAATCTCATGAAAAATCGGAGCAGAAACAAATGTGTTGCGTTTATATTTTTGTTGAACGTATGTATATACATATATATATATATATATATGTATGTATACACATATCAGAAATTTTGTTAACATAAATTTGATTCTGTTTCATTTCATTGTAAAATGGCCTGAAAGAACACCCCTCCAAAACAAAACTAGATAAATTGCATTTCTTGCAGAAATGCTGTCTGAATGCTGGATAGCTTAAACTGTTAGCTGAATCAGCCTAGTAGCTAGCCTAGTGAACTAGACCAAATTCTTGCTTTGCAAAGTTTGGTCTAGGAACGCTCCACTGGAACCTCCGCAGCCCCAACAGCATTCTGGCTGGCCAATCACAGCTCTCTAGAGGGGTTTCAAACACATAAAGAGCTGTGATTGGTCCATAATGGTGGGCCAATCATAGTGCTCTATCTGCTTAGTGAACAAATCACAGAGCTTTATCCGCTTTGTGGGCCAATCAGGGCACTCTATATGCCTGGTGGGTGGGATGATGCAACAGAGTGACACAAGAGTATGTCACATTCATTGTCCAGTAGAATGCGGAGATCATTAGAAAGACAACGGTAGAACCCGCCCCACAACCGAGAGCCGTCAATGGAGCATTGCCAGACTAAATAATACATTTATTTAGTCTGGCTTGCCAGGCTACCTAGTAGCTAGGGATGGGTACCGAATTCGGTACTTTTTAAGGTACCGACCGAATTCCATAGTACCGACCGAGCACCGATTCACGTCATTTCAAACGGTGCCTCGTTTCGGTACCCGTCCTTCATAACGAGAACTTGCCAAGACAGCTGCGCATGCGCAAGAGCGTTATGTCGTCGGTCCCTGCGAGCAAGTTGTAAACAGAGCAGCATGGGTAGAAACAACGCACGCTAACGCTTGGGTCCACTTCACTAAATGTGATGGTTAACTGGGTGATGAAACCAGCGACAGACAACGATCTAAGTGAGACATCCTCATCTTAATCTGCTCCGGTAGGTAAATAAAATGTTTAAGATAGCATTACCTTGATATGTTAGCTTCCGTTTCCCTAATGGTGCGTTCGCTTTCTCCTCGGAACTCCGAATTTCCGACTAGAAGAACATGAACACGCTCTAAAGTTTGGCTTCACTTTACTAAATGCAACGGGTGACTGGGTGAAGATGAAACCAGCGACAACAATCTAAGTGTGAGGCATCATCGTTTTAATCTGCTCCAGCAGCTAAATAAACTGTTTAAGATAACGTTAGCTTGATGTTAGCTTCCATTGCCACCATTGTTATCAGCTAATGGTGAGTTCGCTTTCTCCTCGGAAATTCTAACTTCCCAGTAGGAAAAATCTAATGAAAAAAGACGGCAAAAGGAATGAAGATAACAGTAAATTTAGTTCACAGTAAAGCTTCAGTTTAATGATCAGCTTATAAAACTACAAGGACGATGTTAAAATGCAAAACAGTTGAATGTTATTTATCGTGATATTTATCAAATATGGTTATATAATGAGAAAAATATATATTTAATTATAAAAGAGAATTAAAATAATAAACACTCAAAAGTATCGAAAATTGGTACCGTTAAGTACCGGTATCGATTCGTAGGTACCGGGAATTAGTACCGGATCGATTCAAATGTCAAAGGTACCCATCCCTACTAGTAGCTGAACTGATGCTGAAAATAAGCAAAACTGTCAAAATGAGCTGAATGTGTTGAAAGACGTTGAAGCAAAAATCACTAACATGCAAATAAAGCACAAAAAGTAAGGGAAGAATGGAGAAAAATAATCCTAAATGGCAACAAACTGAAATCTGTGAACATTGTATAAAAATCTGGACAGCTAAAATGTCTAAACACCTATTATTTCAGTTGGACAAGTTTAACAGTTTAATCTTTACATTTAGTTGAACTGCGAAACTAGCAACTTATGCTAAATTTGGTAACTGATTGCTGAAGTTGTTGAATAGCTGAAGTGAAGCTGAAACTAAGCAAAACTGGCAAATGAGCTGAATGTAGTGAAAGATGTGAAAATTGAAAGCACCAACAAGCAAACAAAGCACAAAAAGTAAGTGAAGAATCAAGAAAACTAATCCTAAACAGCAGAAAACTGAAATCTGTGAACATTGTTTAAAAAACTGGACAACTAAAATGTCTAAACACCTGTTATTTCAGTAGGACTAGTTTAACAGTTTAATTTTGACATTTAGCTGAACTATGAAATAAGTATCATATGCTGAATTCAGAAACTGATTGCTGAAGCTGCTGAATAGCTGAAGTGAAGCTGAAACTAAGCTAAACTGTTAAAATGAGCTAAATGTAATTAAATATTTAGAAGTAAAAATCACCAACAAACTGTAATAAAGCTCAGAATATAGGTGAAGAATGGACAAAAAAATGCTAAACAGCAGAAAACTTTAGTCTTTGAACATTGATTAAAAACTTGAAATTTGAAATGTTAAACAGCTGGCATTTGAATGAGAATAATTTAATGGGTACATTTTTACAATTGGCTGAACTGTGAGTTTAGAAACATTTACTGATATCTGAAACTGATTATTTAACATATGTTCAGACTTGATATGGGATGGATGAATGGTTGGATAAATGGTTGGATGAATGAAATGACAGATGGATTGTTGGATGGATGCTAGATGGTTTATTGGATGGATGGATGGATGGATGGATAGAAGCATGTATAGGCATGTTGTAGGGATCAAAGGAACAGAACTGGGCTGGTTTAAATCATACCTGTCTGACAGATTTCATTTTGTAAATGTACATGACAAATCTTCTTCATACTCCAGGGTTACTTGTGGAGTACCACAGGGTTCAGTGCTTGGACCAATTCTTTTTACTATATATATGTTTCCAATTGGTAAAATCATTAGACAGCATGGGATAAACTTCCACTGTTATGCTGACGATACTCAGCTATATTTATCCATTAACCTTGATGAACCTAATCGGTTGGGTAGATTACAGGCTTGTCTTGAGGACATAAAAAATTGGATGACTCTAAACTTTTTGCTTTTAAATCAAGACAAGACAGAAGTTCTCATCTTTGGACCAGAAATCCAGAAAAGGAAATTGCTTAGCCAATCACCTGACCTTAATGGCATTACATTAATCTCCGAGAACAAAGTAAGGAACCTTGGTGTTATCTTTGACCAGGACATGTCTTTCAATTCCCAGGTTAAACAGGTTTGTAGGATTTCCTTTTTCCACCTTCGGAATATTGCTAAGATTAGAAGCATCCTATCCAGGAGTGATGCTGAAAAACTAGTTCATGCATTTATTACATCAAGACTGGATTACTGTAATTCATTACTCTCAGGAAGTCCACAGAATGTAGCTAAAAGTCTTCAGCTTGTCCAAAATGCTGCAGCTAGAGTTCTGATGAGAATTAAAAAGAGAGATCATATCTCTCCTGTCTTAGCTTCCCTACATTGGCTACCTGTTAAATTCAGAATAGATTTTAAGATCCTTCTTCTCACATCTAAAGCTCTTAATAATCAAGCTCCATTATACATTAGGAATCTGATTGTTCTATATGTTCCTAACCGAGCACTTCACTCTCAGACTGCAGGTCTACTGGTGGTTCCCAGAATATCTAAAATTAGGATGGGAGGCAGATCTTTTAGTTATCAGGCTCCTCTCCTGTGGAACCAGCTCCCAGCTTTAGTCCGTGAGGCAGACACTTTGTCTACTTTTAAGAATAGGCTTAAAACATTTTTATTTGATAGGGCCTATGGTTAAAATCTAACGTTAGCCTAAATCTGGACAAGTGGGGGAGTAGAGGGAGGTGGAGTGTACAGTCGGTAAAGATGGCTCTCCCTTGCCCTGCCTCCAACATGCCTCCATCTAAATAGGATAGATTATCCAGAGTTATCTCTGTAGATATGCTGCTATAGGCTTAGACTGCTGGAGGATACACTGACCACTTTCCACACTCTACTGCTTTCCTCTACAATCTGCTCTTTAACTGTATTATTTTCTGCAATTTCAGCTGTTAACTTTATTTTCTCCCTAAGTGTTTTTCTCCCCAGAAGATGCTACAACGATGTTCTGCTGAGCTGTGGTGGCCTCATGGAGGGGGCCATCGACTAGCACACTGCTGCTAACCACTTAAACATTCTCCCTCTCCTGATAATAACTTTTTGCTTTCCTTGACATTGGACATGTTACTGCTAGTTTACCCATTTAATTAGAGATCCACTAGGATAAATACAATAAAGTTTATCTCACCAAATAGAATATTTACTAAGACATCACAATAGAACTGTAGACACATTATTGTCACAGACTTCCCACTGAGGTGCCTTGATACAGCACTCTGGGAACAGCCGATTCATTCAGAAACTTCTTTCTGTGCCTTACCCTCTTAGCCTGGCAAGCCAGACTAAATAAATGTATTATTTAGTCTGGCAACGCTCCACTGACGGCTCTCGGTTGTGGGGCGGGTTCTACCGTTGTCTTTCTAATGATCTCCGCATTCTACTCGACAATGAATGTGATATACTCTTGTTTCACTCTGTTGCATCATCCCACCCACCAGGCATATAGAGTGCTCTGATTGGCCCACAAAGCGGATACAGCTCTGTGATTTGTTCACTAAGCAGATAGAGCACTATGATTGGCCCACCAATATGGACCAGTCAAAGCTCTTTATGTGTTTGAAACCCCTCTAGAGAGCTGTGATTGGCCAGCCAGAGTCCTGGTAGGAGCTGCGGAGGTCCCAATGGAGCATGCCTAGACCAACCTTTGCAAAGCAAGAATTTGGTCTAGTTCACTAGGCTAGCCGGCTGTTGGAGGCCTGCAGCTGTACTCCTGTTAATGAGAGAACCCTTTAAATCTGTCCTTCAGAAGTGCAATTAGACCTGTCAAACTTCTCATCACCATTTGAAAAGTACTGCACAGATTTGAAAAATTCTAAAAGCGTGAGCGGCAGAAGGCTTTGTTGGTCATCTGTGTCCATTTTTATATGCCTAACATGAATTGTCTAGAAGTTATGACGAGAACATTTTAGCTGTCTGAAGCCGATCAGAGGAGAAAATCTCTGTTCCTTTAACATGGGTTTCAATGAGGCAGAATCAGCGTCTCTCCTCCTTCTGAGGCTTGTAGAGAAAGAACCGTAAAAATTACAGATAAAAGGAACCCCATTCTGAAAAGCCAACAAAAATTCCTACTTTTTGAGGTATCATTTGTTTCGGTACTCCAAACGGTCTGGGTGTTGGAAAGAGTTGTTTCCAGAAAATGTGAAGGTCAAAAGTTAGAGTGTGGAATTTTCAGTTTAGAGTAGTGAGTGGTAGACATTTTTATTTATTTAAATATTCTCAAAAGAATGAACCGTACGACCACAACGTTTGGGGTACATTCATGATTTATAGCTCAAAATGAAGGTATATCCGTTAGCTGCAAGCCAGCGTGCATCTCGTTTCAATCGGACTTACGGTTTTCTCAGGACAATGTCAGCAATGGAGCAAAGGAGGGTCATTGCTCCTATCTCTGCCCATTATAATTTTTGTGATTTTTTCTGAAAATCTCAAGCCGTACCTCAACTTCTACCTGTGATTTTAGAAAAACTGTAATAGATATCAAAACGATTTTTTAACCAGTAATAGCTGAAAGTCTTGTGAGTTTGTTGAAACTTGAATGCAGTCTCTTGGTTAAAGTTAACCTATAAGAGTAAGAGTTCAAAAAAGTGATAGGATCTAGCTGAAAATTGAGCAATACCGTTCATTTCAATGGGACCAAAAATGGCAGAAATAGCTGAATATCTCAAAAAGTATAAAATATTTTAATACCAAAAGTCATTGCTGGCATAAGCTGAATGAGCTGAACGTTTTGATACCAAAATTGTGTAAATAGTTGAAGAATTGTGGAAGTAGTTAAATGCCAAAAATGTACGGAAGCAGAATATGCTTATAATATGCTTTACAGCATTCAAACAACTAACTATAAAGAGAAACAGGATCAATATCTGCAGGTTTAAGGGAGCCAAATTTAAGACTTTTTAATACCTTTTTTAAGGCCACTTTGACCAAATTTAAGCTATAATTTCCAGCTATTGCCTGGAACCGGTGCTAACCACGTCGCGAATGTGGGATTAGCCTTCCAGTTACCATTAAATTTGCCCTTCCCCATGGTGCAAGCTCCCACTAGCTTAACCAGCTAATGTTCTCATCTAAAACTAGCCCCCTTTCACAACCAAATGAATGTGTATGGTTCCGCTTACGCCAACATCATACACAAAAAAAAGCTGAACACTAACTAGAAATTCACGAAAATTTTACAGAAATAAAAGAATCTTGTTTATTGGGTCTTTGGTAATTTAAGACATTTGGAAATTCTATTTAAGAATTATTTGTCATTTTTAAGGATTTTCAAGGCCTTAAATTTGGAAAAGCAAATTTAAGACTTTTTAAGGACCCGCGGATACCTGATAATAAGAAGAGGGAGGCACTGAAAGTCAGTTATACAGACCTGGAAAACAGTGGTTTGGTGGTCACTGTCTTTAAGTCCTTTTAGGTAGTTTTGGTTGCTCTTTAGGTGGATGTGGAGATCTTTGAGGTAGCTCTAATTTTACATTGCTGGGGTTGTCTTTGTTTTATCTATAGTGCGTCCAACTCTTCCCATGTTAGTCTGTGAGGATGAGCTACCTGAACACTCCAGCTCTGCCCCACCCACTCCCACACCTCCTCACACTCCCTCACTGTCAGTGAGTCAGCTGAGACCAGCTGATTGGCTGTTGTGGGACACTCCATACTCTGAGGGAGTGGCTGAACACAAACTGATTGGGACATGTAGTAACTGTGTACATTTCCATGGAGATGAGACAAGTGACCTACAGGTGAGTTGGACTTTTTAACACAAGGGTTAGCAAGGCACCAGAAAATGCTGATTAGTCTGTGTGTGTGTGTGTGTGTGTGTGTGTGTGTGTGTGTGTGTGTGTGTGTGTGTGTGTGTGTGTGTGTAGTTTGTACCCGTCTCTTCATCACAGGGTCTTACCTGTACGGATGATTTATCATCACATGATCTGACACGGCTCGGCTTCATCTCTCACATTGAACTCTCCACCCTCTTGCTGAGTTTGGGTATCCAAACCAAATGTACTCGGCCACAACGCAGCAGGGCCCGAGGTGCGTTCCATCTTTATTTTGTGGTTCATATATATATTGATATAAAAAGAAGACAAAAGTTTTTTTGTTGGTAAAAGACTAGCTGTTGGTCATTATAAGCCAACATCCAAATGTCCCTTCACTTGGCTGGCTCCAATTTTAACATTCGTTTTACCATTTAAAAACCATGATGTGTTTTCCACAGAAAACTATAGAAAATACAAATAGACTCATAAAATCAGTCAACCTTTCAGCCATTCAAGTACAAATAATTCACAGATCATCGGATCCCATTACATTCCCTGTGATGAAGCTCCATCTTGTGATGGAGCTCCATCACAGGGAATGTAATGATTTGTGATTCAGCAAAGGTCCTTGCAGGTTTTCCTACAAAATTTTGAATATTTACACAACAAAATCACTCTAAACACAAAATAAATAACTAAAGACGTTCCAGAGCCAAGCAGCTCTAGGTTCATACAGCTTTTAACCCTTAAGCCAGCTCGTATATCAGCTGAAGTCTTCTACAGGTAATCGTGGAGGACCTAACATGGGGTTTTTGTGTAATTCTCTCACTCACATATGCCTACCTGTTGAGAATTTAACTCTACTTTATCACCATAACAACAACAACAAAAATACAGAAAATTTTAATAAATTAAAAGTCACAAATGTTCTTCACTGTCATTTATTGACACAGCTGATAAATGTGCAGAAAACTGATTTTTAACTATCGTGTTTCCAGAATGTAACAATCTCTGAAGAAAAAAAAATTAAATATGGAATAGAATAGAATAGAATTTATTGATCCCACAGTGGGGAAATCCACTTGTTACAGCAGCACCAACACTTAGGAGAATAATTTGAAGAAAAATAATAACGAGGGTACTTGTATGTACACATGGGCAGTATTCTAGTATTGTAACCTTCAACCACTAAAATCCATCAATTTTTTTTAAATCAAAGAGTATCTTGATCAATTTCAAAATAAGTTTGCTGTGGTGGCTATTTCAGAAACATGGTTGAATGATGACAGAGAACTGCAGGATGGACTAGAGGGTTTTGAAATGTTTTGGCAAAGTAGGAGGAATAGAAGAGGAGGAGGTGTCGCTATATTTGTTATATCGTGTCTTAAATGTAAAATTGTTAACAATATGACCGCTGTGGTGGATAACTTGATGGAATGTTTAACTATCGAAATTCAAGTTGAAAGATCTAAAAACATATTAGTTAGCTGTATTTATCGTACACCTGCATCGTGCATAGATCTGTTTATGAGAGAAATTTCTGTAATACTGGAAAAACACAAAGAAAAGACGACTTTATTTTGTGGTGATTTTAATATTAATTTATTGAAGGCAAATGATCACAATAAGACTTCTGAATTTACTGATACAATGCTTAGGTTTGGGTTCTATCCGTTGATTCTAACGCCCAGCAGAATAAAGATGGGCAGTGCCACTTTGATTGACAACATGTTTTTTAATAAGATAGATGGTAAGATACACAGTGGACTGTTAGTCACGGATGTAAGTGATCACTTGCCTGTCTTGAAATTAATTATCAATTTAATATTCGAGAGGAAAAGATTGATTACATTGGTAGAATAAAAACACCAGAACACACTGCAGCTTTTAAAAGAGAATTAGAAAATTATGACTGGAAAAGGTTTATGTGGAAGACACTAATGATGCATATAATGCATTTCTAGACATATTTTTGTCAATCTATGACAGCCATTGTCCACTAAAAAAGTTTTCTGAAAATCTCAAAAAGAAAAATCCAGGGTTGACAAAAGGTTTGGAAAGAGCATGTAAAAGGAAAAATAAGTTGTATAAGATTTTTTTTGACAAATAGAACTAAGGAAAATGAAGACAAATATAAGAAATATAGAAACAGATTAACAACTATTTTGCGATATTAAAAGAAAAGTTATTATGAAAAGCTGCTTCAAAAATCTAAAAATAATATAAAGGCTACCTGGAGTGTATTTAATAAGATAATAAAAAATCAGAATAATATATGTTTTCCAACATGTATTGTAAAAGAAGGTAATGTCGTGATTAAGAATATTGAGAGTATAGTCAACGAATTTAATGATTACTTTGTTAATGTAGGTCCCAATTTGGCAAAAGAGATTTCTGTACCAGGAAGACATGATGACAAATTTTTAAATTTTACTTCTTATAAATGTAACTCAATGTTTCTTGGAGGAGTCTGTGAGAGTGATATTATAGATGTGGTGAGTAAATTTAAGAGTAAAAAATCCATGGATTGTGACGGCCTTGATATGTCATTAGTTAAAGAAGTTCTTCATAGTATCCTTCAGCCATTAAATTCTATTTGTAAGAAATCATTTCAAACTGGAATTTTTCCAGATAAAATGAAAATTGCCAATGTGATAAACAGGTTGTGTCAAATTATAGACCAGTATCTTTGCTGCCCACATTTTCAAAGATTCTTGAAAAACTATTTGAAAACAGACTAAATTCTTTTCTTGAAAAATATTATTTATTGAATGACCATCAGTATGGGTTCAGAAGAAATTGCTCAACATCTCTAGCAGTGAGGAAATTTATTGAAAACATTGCAACAATTGTGGATAAAAAACGTTGGTTACGTATTGTAACCCCAGATTCTATGAGTCTAGTCGCAGCCCTTAAGCGAGCTGCTATTGGAAGGATGATCTCCGCATCAGCCAATCATGAAGAGCTTCAATGTACGCCCACTAATAGTGGGCCCCCTTGTGGGTTATATAAGTGGAACGACCCCACTGTTCACCTCCGATGGCTCTTAGTCCTAACAGAACCAGTGGGGCCAGTGGCTTAAGGGCTACGACTAGACTCATAGAATCTGGGGTTACAATACGTAACCAACGTTCTATTTCGTCTAGTCTTAGCCCTTAAGCTAGCTGCTATTGGAATAATGCGCAGCTGGATGGGTTTACGCCACACTGGTTAGCTCAACCAATGAACACACCCAACACGCCTTTATAGGGAGGGGCGCTCAGCCTCAGTCCAGGCTCGAAGGCTGAGGCAGCCAAAAATAAGAGTGGAGCCCCCACTAAAAAATAACATCCATAAAAGGATGAAAATCATTCAAGCAGGGCTGATGGGATGCCATAAAGCGTTCATTCAGCCTGCTGAGGTCCAAGCACTGAACGAGTGACGGAACCTAAAGACACATCTCGTAAATAATAACGAGTAAAGGAACAGGGTGAAGCCCATGAAGCAGCCTGACAAATGTCTTCCATTGACACACCACTGAGGAGCGCCATAGAAGAGGAAATCCCTCTGGCTGAATGAGTCCTGAGTGCCTCAGGGGGATCCCGCCCTGATGATGTGTAAGCGAGTGAAATGGCGTCACATAGCCAGTGCGAAATACGCTGGGTCGACAGCGCTTGCCCAAGGGAAGACTCCCTGTAGTGCACAAACAGGCTTTGTGAGCGGCGAATCCCCGAAGTGCGTGACACATATCGTGCGAGCGCGCACACCGGGCAGAGAAGATGGGAAGCCGCCTCCTCCTCAGAACTATGGGGAGGAGGAAAAAGTCCAGCCAATGAAATTGACCTGGATTTGAAGGAAGCCGTAATGTTTTTGGGCACAAAGGCTGGGTTGGGGCATAAAACAGCAGACCCGCCATCCTCCCGGATCCTGAGGCATGCGGGAGCCACTGAGAGGGCGGCCAGGTCGCTCACTCTCTTGACTGATGTCAGAGCCAGCAGCAATGCCGTTTTGAGTGACAGGAACTTGAGTGAGACCTGGTCCAAGGGCTCAAATGGGGCTTTAGATAAGCCGTGTAGAACCACCGTGAGGTCCCACTGGGGAAATAGCAGCCGGGACACAGGCCTGTTCCTTCTGACGCCTTTTACAAAACGTTTTGTGAGGGGATGACTGAAAACAGATCTATCTCCAAAGCCCTGATGACAGGATGAGATAGCTGCAGCATATGTCTTAACAGTGCTGAATGCGAGGCCTCTGTCCATCAGTATCTGCAGAAACGATAGGACATCCACCAGCTGGCAGGAGAGCGCTTGAACATTCCGCTCTGCGCACCAGTTCTGGAAAGCTGTCCATTTAGCAGCGTAAGATGCCATGGTAGAGGGCGCTCGTGCACTCTGAATCGTGGCCACCACATCATGCAGCAGCCTAGAAGCCTCTAAGCGTGACCGCTCAGCGGCCAGACCCAAAGCCGTTGGCCTATTTTGGGAGGATGTCTGATTATTCCATCCGCCTGGAGAAGGGCGTCTGCCCTCCACGGCAGCCTCCACGGGGAGCTGGACACTAACGCTTGCAGGTCCGGAAACCATGATGCGGACAGGCATCTGGGAGCCACCAGAATCACCGAAAGCTGTTCTGACCGAACTCGGTCCAGGAGCCGGGGAATCAGAGGGACTGGTGGAAACGCATAGAGGAGCGTTCGGGGCCAGGGCTGGTGTGAGAAGGCATCCGCCCCGAGTGGGGGTCGGTCCCGGGGGCTCAGGGAAAACCACAGGCGACACTGAGTGTTTTCTCGAGCTGCGAACAGATCCACAGAAGGTACCCCGAACCTGATCCAGATCAGCGATACCAGCGCAGGATGCAGACGCCAGTCGGAGTCGCGGGGTCCCTCTCTCGACAGGATGTCTGCTGCTACATTCAGGACCCCCGGGATGTAGGTGGCCTTGATAGACAGCAGGTGGCCATGTGCCCAACACAGTAAATCTGTGGCTACACGTAACAGAGGGAGAGACCGAACTCCCCCTTGGCGATTTATGTAGGCTGCCACCACCCGGTTGTCCGTGTGAACTTCGACATGACGGCCCTCGAGAAGGGCAGCGAAGTGTCTGACCACATTCCTCACTGTCATCAGCTCCAACACATTTATGTGCTCATGCGTGTGGGAGGGCCAGCGATCTGCCACCGTATGGGACAAGCACGTGCCCCCCCACCCCAACAGCGACGCATCCGTAAACACAGACACGTGTGACGCAGGGCGTCCGATGGGAACTCCGTGTGAAAGGGTGCAGGGGTTCCCCCAGTGAGCGAGGTCCCCGCCCACTGAGGGGCGAACCCTCAACATACGTGCCTTCTGACGTATTGGGTGCACCCGGAGGCAGATGAACCAAAGTTGCAGGTGCCTCGTGTGCAGCAACCCTAGCGGCACCACAGCGTGGGCTTCAGCCATCATGCCCAGAAGTTTCACGATTAACAGGGCTCTCACGATCCTGCGGGGTTGCACGCGGGAGATCACCGCGATGAGATCTGCCGCTCTCACCGGCGACAAATGTGCTCTCATCAGGGAGGCGTTCAGCTCCACCCCAAGAAACACAATTGACTGGGACGGAAGGATGGAGCTCTTCTCCCAGTTTATAGAAAACCCCAGGGTTGACAGATGCTCTGTTAACTTCCTGGTCTGTTCCGACGCCTCATCCTCGGACCGAGCGCACAGGAGCAGGTCGTCCAGGTAAAATAAAACTCTCATTCCCGCCATACGCAGCGGCTGCAGCGCGGTCTCCAGACATTTGGAGAAAGTGCGCGGGGCTAGCGAGTAGCCGAAAGGGAGGCGATTGAATTGGTATTGAACTCCCCTGAATGAGAAGCGCAGGAACTTCCGGTGCCTGGGAATTACCGGGATGTGGAAGTATGCGTCTTTCAGGTCTATTGACGTGAACCAGTCTCCGGAATGCACGTATTCCAGGACTTGCCTCATTGTCAACATGCGGAAATGCATCACTGCTATGGAGCAGTTGAACAGGGGAAGATCGAGAATCGTCTCATTCCTCCCGACTTCTTCGGTACTACGAAGTAGCAGGAGTAGAAACCCGAGAGCTCTTGTCCGCGAGGGACTCGGGAAATAGCGTCCTTGGACAGAAGTTCCCGCAGCTCCAGCTCTAGGGTCTGAGACTGAACTTGTGATGTGAACGTCGTCTCCACGATCCCGTTGAAGGGAGGAGGAGCGGCCTGAAAATGGAGTGCGTGACCGTAATGAATGGTCTCCGATATCCATTTGCTCATGGCACAAAGGCGGCGCCATTCGTGCGCGCGTTCCGACAGCGGATGCGTGTTCGCGGTCACGTGAGTAATGTCGGAAGACTGAGTATGCGCCCTTACCGCCGTCGCTCGCCCCAGAGGACTGGGGGCGACCCATGGAGGGCTGTGCTCGAAAGGGCGAGTGTGAACCAGCTGGAAGAGGCTGATCCGCACAGCGGGGTGTGGAGACCAAAGGAGCAGGGCGAGTGGGAGCTGGGTCCATACACGGGGACGGCAAAGTGCCAGAGGACGGAGCCGCGTACTGTGCCGCCGCGCGTGACCGCGACCGCGCCATGACGTCCCGTCCCACCCAGCGTTGTGGGGGAAACGGGACGGGTTGGGCCTGGTCGGAGGCTGAGGCCGGTGCGCGAATGGAGCACACCTTTACAGCTGGCCGTGAGACATGGCTGACTGCGGGAATACGTATATGTGCCGCAGTGCTTGGTGTGGGGAACGTGTGTGAAGAGTCGGCAGAGGACTCTGCAGAGGACTGTAGGATTGAGCTCTTTAAGTGACGTTTTTTGGGTTTTATTTCAAAACCAACATCAACAGCAGCATCAACAGCATTACGCTCATAGACACACACATTCCCCCCAAGGAGTCATTTCCGTGGCTGCTTCCGGCGAGGCTCCTGCGCCTGCCACGACGGCGTCTGCTGGCTCCGTCGAACCCGTTGGCCGCCAACTTGCTGGTCTCGCTGAGGTGGAGCCGAAGCGGGAGGCCGGCTCCGTGGAGCGGGCGGCACAGCCGGGCGCCTGAAGTTCCCACACCGTTCGTCCCATCCTCTGGCGGAATGGCCGGAGTGCGAGGCTGACCGAGGGTGGACCACGTCTCGCACCGTAGCTGATAGTTCACCTGTCTTCTGAGCCCTCTCGATGACGCCCCTAAGATGGGGACCGAACAAAACATCAGAGGTGATGGGGCCTTCCAGCATCTCTCTGTGCAGGTGATCGGGCGAGGGCGGTTCTGGAACGGCTAGCCCCTTGCGGACCGCAGCCGCGGAGATGATGGCGGGCAGCTCCTGGATCAGTGCTCTTACTGCTGGTAGGGAGGGGCAAGAAGCCGCTGGGGCAGGAAGACCCGCTGAGCCAGGCTCGTTGACCTCCGTGTTGTCTAGGAGGGAGGAATGGCTAAGGCGGCTAGCCTCGTCGTAGTCCTCGCTGTCTGTGACGTCATCCAGCCGGTTGAAGCCATTCGGCTCCTGACCGGCGTTGAAGAAGTCCAAATTCTTGTCCAGCGAATATGTCTCAGCCACCGGGAATTCCTCGGCGGCGGCGGGAGTGAAGCACTCGACCCGGCGGATCTTTTCAGCCACAGGCAGAGCGGCACAAAACGGGCACGAGGCCTGGGGGGTCAAGGCCAGGCCAGCGTGATGAGCCCCGAGACAGACCTCACATTTGGCGTGCAGGTCGCCGCTGGAAATGGAGCCCGTCTGGTAGGCCGGGCAGGTTCTGGCGTCGCTGGACATAGCTGGTGAGTCATAATCTTCTTTGATAATTGCTCTTTAAAGAAGCTCTCAGGCTTGGCATGAAGAGAAAAAGGAGGCGAACAGTGGAGTTGCTCCACTTATATACCCACAAGGGGGCCCACTATTAGTGGGCATACACTGAAGCTCTTCATGATTGGCTGATATGGAGATCATCCTTCCAATAGCAGCTCGCTTAAGAGCTAAGACTAGATGAAATAGAACAGATTGGAATAGGTGTGTTCATTGATTTACGCAAAGCCTTCGATGCAATAGATCATTCCTTACTGTTACAGAAATGGTAAAGATTTGGTTTAAGAGGTGTTGTACAACTTTGGTTAAATAGTTACTTGGAAAGAAGGTTCCAATATGTGAGTATTAATATGAAATCTAAACTTAGAAAAGTAACTTGTGGAGTTCCACAAGGATCAGTGTTGGGACCTAAGTTATTTTTACTTTATATAAATGATATCTTTACAGTTAGTGATATTTTAACATATGTGATGTTTGCTGATGAAACAAACTTATTTTGTTCTGGAGACAACATAAAGGAATTACTGAAATTAGCGGAAACAGAACTGATGAAGTTAAACAGATGGTTTGTATTTAATAAACTATCACTGAATGAAAGTAAACCAAAAATGTATGTTGTTTGGAGGTATTAATAGTATTTTGAAGTAAAATTGAATCTAAACAATGTTGAAACCGAAAGCGTATATGAGACTACATTTTTAGGAATAATAGTTGATGATAAACTTTGTTGGAAGTCTCACATAGATCACGTGAAACGGAAATGATCTAAGTCTATTTCTATTCTTTATAAAACAAGAGATTTATTGCACAAGAGCTGCCTTTATTTACTGTACACTTCCCTTCGCTTTCCTTATGCGAGTTATTGTGTGGAAATTTGGGGGAAAACATACAAAACATATCTGGATTCAATTTTTAAATTGCAAAAATGAGCTATTAGAATAATAAATAAAGCTGGATATAGGGAGTCCACAAACCAATTTTTTGTAGGATCAGCTATGTTAAAATTTAAGGACATTATATATCTGAAAACTTTAGAAATGATGTGTAGAGTGGCGAAAAAAGAATGTTCCAATTTGTATTTTAAGTATGTTTAAATTAGGAGATGGAAAATAGGATTTGAGGGGGTCTTATATGTTTGAAATACCTAAAGTGAGAACTAATGCTAAGTATGGATGTGTGTCGGTTTTGGGAGTGAAGTTATGGAATGGACTTAATGATGAACTGAAGATGGGTTATTCTTTGTCATTTTTCAAGAAACATTAAAAAATTTGCATCTTCTAAAGTTATTGAAACTTAGTTTGATGTCTAACCTTGTGTTGATTTGATTTCTTGATTTATCATTGCTTTTTCTTTAAATGTTATGCATCTCATCTCTCAGCCCTACTTTGTTTCCTCTTGGTTAAGGATTTGATTATCTCTGTGGGAGTTAAGGATAGGCTAATTATAAGCCACTAGGCTTCAACCTATTCCTTTTTTCGGTTGCTTGATTACTTTTATGTAAAATTGATAAATTGTTGTTGTTGACCGAATAAAAATATCTATCTATCTATCCATCCATCCATCCATCCATCCATCCATCCATCCATCCATCCATCCATCCATCCATCCATCCATCCATCCATCCATCCATCCATCCATCCATCCATCCATCCATCCATCCATCCATCCATCCATCCATCCATCCATCCATCCATCCATCCATCCATCCATCCATCCATCCATCCATCCATCTATCTATCTATCTCTGCATCCAACTTAGAGATATACAGTCAGTGTTAGAAAACAGTAACGCAGCAGAATCTGAATCAGTCAGTGCATCTGTTCCTCCTTCAGACAGTGGCGTCTTTGGCGTGTCGTTGAACTCTCTGTTGGAGAACGACAGGAAGAAGTTTCCAGAAGTCAAAGTTCCAGTCGTCTTCCAAAAAGTAAAAAAGCACACTTGTTTATATGTTATTTTGTTTGTTTAACTGCTGCTTTAATAGGGATTTGTCATTAAAGATACAAAAAGTAAGAATTCAACATGTAAAATAATTGAAAATGGTCTATTTGATATAGCGCCTTCTAGGGTCCTGGAACCCCCCAAAGCGCTTTATAACACAATCAGTCATTCACCCATTCACACCCTGGTGGGGATGAGCTACAATGTAGCCACAGCTGCCCTGGGGCACTCTGACAGAGGCAAACACCAACAGCAGGAAAGGTGGGTTTAGTGCCTTGCCCAAGGACACAACGACAGCGACAGACTGAGCGGGGTTCAAACCTGCAACCTTCTGATTACGGGGCGAGCTCTTAACTCCTGTTCCACAGTTGCCCACAGGTCTCATGCTGGAAGGAAAGTTACAATCAAACAGATGTCCTACTCAGCTGCCATCCTGGGTGCCAGTTTATCTCCTTTTTAAATGCTGATGAGCTTTGTTTTCAATGTGAGAACTGGTGGGGGTTGTGCCACACACGTGCCGGTGAGTGAAGCGGAGGCAGGATCCACATTAGGGATGGGTACCGAATTCGGTACTTTTTAAGGTACCGACCGAATTCCATGGTACCGACTGAGCACCGATTCACGTCATTTCAAACGGTGTCTCGTTTCGGTAACCGTCCTTCATAACGAGAACTTGCCAAGACAGCTGCGCATGCGCAAGAGCATTAAGTCGTCGGTCGCTGCGAGCGAGTTGTAAACAGAGCAGCATGGTAGAAAGAACGCACGCTAACGCTTGGGTCCACTTCACTAAATGTGATGGGTAACTGGGTGATGATGAAACCAGCGACAACGATCTAAGTGAGACATCCTCATCTTAATCTGCTCCGGTAGGTAAATAAAATGTTTAAGATAACATTAGCATGATTTGTTAGCTTCCGTTTCACTAATGGTGCGTTCGCTTTCTCCTCAGAAATCCGAATTTCCAACTAGAAGAACATGAACGCGCTCTAAAGTTTGGCTTCACTTTACTAAATGCGACGGGTGATTGGGTGAAGATGAAACCAGCGACAACGATCTAAGTGTGAGGCATCATCGTTTTAATCTGCTCCAGCAGTTAAATAAACTGTTTAACATAACGTTAGCTTGATATGTTAGCTTCCATTGCCACCGTTGTTATCAGCTAATGGTGCGTTCGCTTTCTCCTCAGAAATTCTAACTTCCCAGTAGGAAAAATCAAATGAAAAAGGACGGCAAAAGGAATGAAGATACACAGTAAATTTAGTTCACAGTAAAGATGTTTGCTTCAGTTTAATTATCAGCTTATAAAACTACAAGGACGATGTTAAAATACAAACAGTTGTTTGTTATTTATCGTGACATTTATCAAATATGGTTATATATTGAGAAAAATATATATTTAATTATAAAAGAGAATTAAAATATTAAACACTCAAAAGTATCGAAAATTGGTACCGTTAAGTACCGGTATCGATTCCTAGGTACCGGGAATTAGTACCGGATTGATTCAAATGTCAAAGGTACCCTAATCCACATGCGGGGGCAAAGGCAGGCAGGCAGACAAGCAGGAACAGTTTCACAAAAGGGTTTTAATAACAGAACACGCTGGACTACTGAAACAGTGAACCAACCTGAGACACAGGACTGAAGGGGTTTAGATACATGAGGACTGGGAGCTTGGGTGATTGGAAAACAAGAGGCAGGTGGGAGCAATTAACAGAGACACATGACTACATAACAGGGAGACAAGACAGGGTGTGACAGTTTGCTGAGTCTGCACCAGTTACTGGTGCTGTACTGGCATTATTGTTAGCATTTTTAGCTCAACATTGGCCTCTAGCCTGCTTCAGCCGATATTAGAGCACAACGAAAAGAAGCTATGGCTTCTTGGGGGGGGGGGGGGGGGGGGGGGGGGGTGTTACAAGAAATACCTTCTGGGTCACTCCTGTTCCTGGCTTAAGATCTTCACAAAATGCTGCTGGTGTCACGGCATGAGGTGAGTGGCCCACCTTATTCCTCCCAAGTCTGATTACAGGTGGGCGGTTCCCGGGGAGCGGCTCGGGGCCTCATTCATCAAGCTTGCTTACGCGCAAAACGGGGTCGGAAAACTGCGTACTCAACTTTCCACACAAACCGGGATTTATGAAAGAAAACGTAGAGGAAAAAGTGCACAACTTTGAGTTGACTAAGGACCTGGCTTACACACATGTTGGACCTGGAGAGCACCTGCAGTGCTGCTGCTGAGAAGATACAATTACGAAATCCTGCAGCATTATCACTTGTACTGCTTCGTTTTCACACAGAACAAGGGTTAACCCTAACCCTTTCTCCACCTCACCCACAAGTACCTCAATTTCAGTGAAATAACGCTTCCTTGATCTGTGGTCATGATCGAAATTCTGCAACAGCCGGCTTACAAGTGCTGGCCAGTAAATTAGAATATCATCAAAAGGTTGAAAATATTTCAGTAATTCCATTCAAAACGTGAAACTTGTACATTATATTCATGCAATGCACACAGACCAATGTATTTCCGATGTTTATTACGTTTAATTTTGATATTTATAGGTGACAACCAATGAAAACATCAAATCTGGTATCTCAGAAAATTAGAATATTCTAAAGGCCAATGAAAAAATGTTTGTTTCTCTAATGTTGGCCAACTGAAAAGAATGAACATGAAAAGAATGTGCATGTATAGCACTCAATACTTAGTCGGGGCTCCTTTTGCCTCAATAACTGCAGTAATGCGGCGTGGCATGGACTCGATCAGTCTGTGGCACTGCTCAGGTGTTATGAGAGCCCAGGTTGCTCTGATAGTCGTCTTCAGCTCCTCTGCATTGTTGGGTCTAGCGTATTGCATCCTCCGCTTCACAATACCCCATAGATTTTCTATGGGGTTAAGGTCAGGCGAGTTTGCTGGCCAATCAAGGACAGGGATACCATGGTCCTTGAACCAGGTGCTGGTGGTTTTGGCACTGTGTGCAGGTGCCAAGTCCTGTTGAAAGGTGAAGTCTGCATCCCCATAAAGTTGGTCAGCAGCAGGAAGCATGAAGTGCTCTAAAACTTCCTGGTAGACGGCTGCATTGACCCTGGACCTCAGGAAACAGAGTGGGCCAACACCGGCAGATGACATGGCACCCCACACCATCACTGACGGTGGAAACTTTACACTGGACCTCATGCAACGTGGATTCTGTGCTTCTCCGCTCTTCCTCCAGACTCTGGGTCCTTGATTTCCAAAGGAAATGCAGAACTTGCTTTCATCAGAAAACATAACTTTGGACCACTCAGCATCAGTCCAGTCCTTTTTGTCCTTGGCCCAGGCGAGACGCTTCTTGCGCTGTTTCTTGTTCAAGAGTGGCTTGACACACGGAATGCGACACCTGAATCCCATGTCTTTCATGAGTCTCCTCGTGGTGGTTCTTGAAGCGCTGACTCCAGCTGCAGTCCACTCTTTGTGGATCTCCCCCACATTTTTGAATGGGTTTGTCGTCACAATTCTCTGCAGGGTGCGGTTATCCCTAGAGCTTGTACACTTTTTTCTACCACATTTTTTTCCGTCCCTTCGCCTGTCTGTTAATGTGCTTGGACACAGAGCTCTGCGAACAGCCAGCTTCTTTAGCAATCACCTTTTGTGTCTTGCCCTCCTTGTGCAAGGTGTCAATGATTGTCTTTTGGACAGCTGTTAAGTCAGAAGTCTTCCCCATGATTGTGGTGCCTTCAAAACAAGACTGAGGGACCTTTTAAAGGCCTTTGCAGGTGTTTTGAGTAAATCAGCTGATTAGAGTGGCAGCAGGTGTCTTCTATATTCAGCCTTTTCAGAATATTCTAATTTTTTGAGATACCAAATTTGGAGTTTTCATTAGTTGTCACTTATGAATATCAAATTTAAATGTAATGAACATTGGAAATACATTGGTCTGTGTGCATTGCATGAATATAATGTACAAGTTTCACGTTTTGAATGGAATTACTGAAATATTTTCAACCTTTTGATGATATTCTAATTTACTGGCCAGCACTTGTATATGAATGAGGTCCACAAGGCACTTTGCATTGACTATTTATGGCAGTAAGTGGGCGTGGTGAGGGCGGGATGTGACTAAAATGCAGCTGAGAAACATTCTCGTTAGTCTCTGATTTATGAAGCGGAGATTGCGTGCAGCTGTGCGTCCTCCATGTTTGATAGATCACACACCTGCTTGGCGTAAGAACATTGTTTTGCTGAGCTTAAGTACGTTTTTAGTAAGGATTCTACGCCATGTTTGATAAATGAGACCCCAGATCATTACATCAGATGGTCTGACATCTGGATACTTAAGGAGCTGGGAGACAACCTCACTTCACCGGATGATTACTCAACTTGGGTATTACCTACCTTTGGTGTCTCTTGCCTCCTAAACTCTCAAGATAACAGCTTGTTTCTACTTTTTTTTTGCCTCGCGAGTATTCTTTATTCTGCCCTCAGGTACCACCACCACTTCCAACTAGCCTACCATAACTTCCTGGATTCACCACAAGCTCATGACTCACCAGGGAAGCCAGCCTGTCCTGCTCTCCACCGTTCACCTGCATCTTCGGGCCCCTCCCTTTCCTGTGGATCTCTCCAGTTCCCTCATTCTGGACCTTACCTTGAGCTTGCCTCCCCTAAGGCTTGGTTTATGCTTGACGCATTTACTTTCCGCTTGGTGATGCGGCTGGCGGATGGAACGCGCTTCACATCTTGCAGCGTTTATGGTTCATGTGGCTTGTCTCTGCGGTGAGCCAATATTCTCCCAAACTGTAGGGGGCAGCATGGAGCTCTACGGCATGCATCCAACACTACACCATAGTAGAAGTAAAAATTGCTGTTGTTTACAGCATGGCATTCCTTCGTCTTCGTCTTCCTCCGCTTATCCGGGTCCGGGTCGCGGGGGCAGCATCCCAAATAGGGAGCTCCAGACCGTCCTCTCCCCGGCATTCTCCACCAGCTCCTCCGGCAGGACC